TACAGTATATGCTTGTGTTTTGTTCCTCAAGTGTGCTTTGGCAATACTGTTTCTCATGGTCATGTCAAGGGGTGCTTTCACATCATAAGAAGTTATTTCAGGAACCAGAACCTTTTTTCAGAACCAGAAACTTTTGTTGTGTTCACATCACAGATCTGGGACCCCTTTTTTAGTACCTACTCTAGAGTAGGTGTGTTTCTCAATAACAAAAATGCAAAGATCATACTTGCGGTCTTGGCAAGACCGGTCTTACTATCTTGCCTTTCAAGAACAACTTTGGGGCAGAATGAATCATGGGATTCGTCCCATTCAGCGAGGATGCAGCCAATGTATTCTTGATTGTTGGGCGGGGCAAGAATTGGATTGGAATTGGATTGGAATGAAATATGAATGTGGCGAGTCATATGGAAAAAATAAAAATAAAAAGTTTTGAGTCCCCCCCCCCAAACAAATAACTTTAAACAACTTGTTTATCCTGCATTGATTTGGGGTGGCAGTCTAGTTTTGAATTATGTGTGAAGTTTAACCTATGAACTTTTCTCCCAAGCTTATTTAGCATAAAGGTCCTAGTTTGGTTCACTTTCACATGAAAGTGGCCAGTAGCTACTGTACATAAGTTCCTGGTCCAGATAGCCCAGAAACTTGTAACCAAGGACCAGGTTTCGGTACTTCGATTTAAAAGTCCCTAATACTGCAAGCCTATTTGAACTGAATTGAATACCCATGTCCAGTGATTTACCTTGAGTTTTCTTCTTAAAATAGCCAAGAAGACTATATAGGTTTTTAAAACCAAAGCTTTTCATCTGGGTGCTCACAACTTCCAAGTTTTTTGTGCACTGTGTAGTGTTTGATTACTTCCCCGTTCTTTGGACGTTGCAAGTCAATTTCCATGCTGTTACACAGTCTCTGTGTTGATTTGCTATAACACCTCCTTTTTAAAAATACTTGTGGCTACCTAAGAAACTAATGAACTGATGATCCTCACTACATCTGTAGTGCAAATAATTCCACGGCCATGGCAATTACCAATTCTGCATATGGCTAGAGTCAGCCATGTTCAGTATATATATTGACTTTGACTGAGCCCCCTTATGCCAGTCAGGCTCTATACAGCTGCCTAGTTTCCTATGCCTGGATCCAGCCTTGGTTAAAGATCTTATTTGTGGATTTGAATCTCAGACAACAGTCATGGTCTGAAATGACCACGCTACACATTGTTGGATTGCTGTTGATGCCTGTCAAAATTTGCACACCAATGAGTTGATCCCAGAGCTGAGCACACAATGCTTCTACTTATGTGTTGGGCGGGGGGGTGGCACATCTGGCTCTGTCACATTTGTTTTGTCTCCATTATGCCAGCAGGTGTCGTTAGCCATGCTGTTCCCTCTACCTTGTAGGCCACCACATACCTCAAGGGGTTTATTGAGTGGTTTAGAAGCTGATACCTCTGCAGTCATGATTTCAAAGCTGGCCTGCTTCCCTGTTGTTTAATTTATTAGGTTTATTTTATCATTAGCTTTTGGTATCATTTATCTTTATCTTTGCTTTGTGTCCCTGTTTAAAGTCTTCCCTGTCCGTGCCTTGTTGAATTATGTTCTGCTTTGGTTCCTAGTCTCTCCTCAATAGTTTGGTAAGCCCTTAGTACTTAGTACTGCACTACTACAGTAGTGCAAACTTATTACACCTGTTTCTTGTTGCCCCACGCCTGTCCTGATTGGTTGATTTGGTTATGGTCCATACCTGCCCTTTGTTAGCCTTGTTGTCTGTGTGTATTTACAGTAAGTGCCTGTTCTTGTTCTGTTCCTTTTACGGTGGAGCATGATAAAGGAAGGACTATCCATGTTACAGCTCACAGCAAACAGGGGACTTTATGGTTACTTTTAGTTGGTTCTTATTTTTCCTGCGTGGTCCCTTATTTTGTGGTTTCCCCTTTCTGTTCTGTTTAGTTAATTAAGTCCTCTGTTTGCTGTGAGGTGCAGCGTGAATCATCCTTCCTCTATCATGCCACGCCATAACACTTTTGTATGTTTGTAGTAAAGGTGGAATGTGTAGCACAGTTTGTTTTTATCTGTCTGGAAATCATGTCTTGGGGTTAATCGCAAATAGTTTTATTCTTATCTGTTATTTATCATATCTCACACCTCCTTGCAATGATTATTTTCCCATCAGTTATCAGCGGGCATCTCCACAAAGTTCTCATGCTCAATCATTTCTGTCTGAGTGGTCAGGAAAACATCTGTTGCATTTTTTTCTTTCCATCAGCTCATGTTGCTAATTTAATCTTCGTTCTGTGTTAGTTTTCTGTTCCTATCTCTTAAGTTAGACGGCTCGGTGCTCACCCGTATATTAAATCAGCCATAAAATACCCTCAAAACAATTATTTATCATCCAATTTACCTCTTGGTTACCTTGGTAAGCTTCCTTATCCATGAAAAGATTGGTTTTAATATTTTTGGTGTGGCTTTATAGACCTTTCTTTTGACAGCATACCTCTCATTTTCAATACAAAAATAATGGTAAAATAAACCTCGACAATTATATAAATAAACTGAATTGGTCTTATCTTGCCTTACATGTCTGGGCATGCCTCGCCTAGTGATTGTTTTTTGTTTGTTTGTTTAAATAGAGGTTCCAGATGCAGTATACAAATTTATGTGGTGCTTTTATGCTTTTAAACTTACAAACAGTTTGGTACCAACCGTAACACCATAGGAAGGTTAAAGCTGCCAATCTTCTGCTAAACGGTAGTTCTGGTCAAGTCCCCCACTGCTCCAGTTATCTTTCTTAAGATCATCAAGTCATTCCCTAATGGGCCAATAAGACAACTCAAAGGATTTTTCTACATGTAAGTTCAGCTTAGAAGTTTGTGATTTTTGGAAAAATAAAGATCCAAGCATGACTTTTTCCTGTATATGTTACCCATGTAGGGAGTCGGGCAATAAAACACTGGAAATGCCACAGGATATGAGCAGCTTAATCACGGGACCTATAGTTCATCTTATAGGTCTGCAGAATCCTCGTTTGTGTGGTTTCCCAATAACAACAAATCACAAACACAACTTTCTTTAAGCAAGTTGCTCAAGATTATTCTTACCTTTTCTACAGAATATTGTATTTAAGTTATTAGATGTGAATGGATATCAACTGGATCATTTTACAAGAAATCCATAACAGGAGACCAAATAAGAGTCCAAAAATGAATAGAAGATCTTTGAGGTGACAGAGCACTGCTAGTCTGAGGACTTTGAGTAAGGCAGGGGCAGCAATGTGCAGCTCAGCAATTGTTCTGAACGTCAAAGTTAATTAACAACAGGACAGAGTAGATAAGCGATGAAGCGGTGCTGACCTTATATGCTCTACTGTATATCTAACTGGAACAAGCAAACAGGAAAAAGCAAAGCCTTGCATGTAAATATCACTGAGGCGCTTCCTACACTCCCCACTGATACAACTACTCTGCAAATTTCAGGACTCTCATGCAGTGTTTACTGTCATACAGAATCCAACAAACAAACATTTAACTTATTCTGTACATTTCATTTTTTCTTGACTGATGCAAATAATAAAATTCTCCAACAATGACAATGCTATGTAGCAGAATATCTAGTTATAATTAGGTATAATTTGTTTGTCAAACTATCATACAACTTGCTTGCTTTCTGGTCAAGAATGTAAGTATTGCATATTTTGTGGTTTTGCGATCACCATTCATAACGGGGCCCTTTTGCTATATTTCTGTTATGATACAGATTGAACAGAGAAATTAAGAATGCACTCCTCATCTTTAATATGAATCCATGCATTACTAAGGCCAGTTTACAGAGCACAAGGATGAAACGTATACCTAGTAAAGACTGTAGTCCTATGTCATACAAAATCATTTTACAATATGGATCAGTTACTTTTTTAGTAATGTTTATCTGTGAAACTGCACCCTAAACAGTGTTAATCTTATTTTAAATTATGAAATCTTTATTTTAACACTAGTCGCATCCTTTCACAATGTAACTATTGCATATGTGCCCATTGCAGTGTCACAAAACACAACCTCACCCCCCCCCCCCCAATGCTGGGATAATGTGGTCCCCTTCAATGTCAAACTCCTTCCTATGACACCACTGCTCTCATGGTACCAGAAACAGGAATTCCATCCATCCATGCATCTTCCTGCCATTTATCATGCTCTGGGAGGCATGAAAGCTATTCCAGCCAGCATAGGAGAGCAAAGGCAGGAATACACACAATATCATTTGTTCCACTCTATCATAGATATGCATTTGCATCCAACAAATAAAAAATGAATTAATTTCTTACAGTTTGTATACAAAAGTTCTTAAAAATTTTTTATTATATCAAGGTTTATATGTTTCAGGTGTTAAAATACAAAAAAAATTGTAATTTTATTTTACCAGTAGACCTATGCTAACTTTATGTTAACTGTAAGATGCTGTTCATGTTACGCAATTGATATCACATACTGTATTACATAGACTCATCTGTCACACAGATTATTTAATTCTCTGTGCATCTGTATGTATGGAATTTTCATCAAAAGTCTGAATAATTATGAAGTTTGATTCTATTGCATCTTTGATTTCTGAGTTACATTCTTTCATTTCATCCTGCTTTTTGTGAGTTTAATAATTCTAAAATGGAATAGGGAGAGACTGGTCAAGCATTTGACACATTCTTCTTGAAGCTTAATACACAACAGATTTGTGAATTTGGCCTTGTTCAGTATTGTTTATGTTGCAGGTACCACTAAGTGGGGATTGCAGGCTGTTAGTGTCTATTGTAAACATGGTGGGTTGATTATGTATGTACACAGAAGAGGGATTACAGTATTAAATGTTCAGATCCATGCTGTGAAGTTGTGAGCAGAAATCATATACAGCATTGCAAAGTGAAATTGCAGTATGAGTGTTACCATGTTGTCATAGTCGGTAAAATTTGATTGGTGCAGACTTTTAGCTCTCATCATTATCTTCTTTAATTGACAGGACTGGTTGAGCAAGTTTGGGTACCTCCCACCCCCAGACCCTGTAACAGGACAGCTGCAGACCAAGGATGCTCTGACCAAAGCTATAAAAGCCATGCAGAAGTATGGTGGCCTGAAGGAGACAGGGGAGCTAGGTGAGTATGTCTGTGTATGTGTGTGTTTGTCCACCTGTCCTTCTTCATGACTCTATATCAATGAACATCTCATCTTCAGATGAAGAGACCCTGGTCCTGATGAAGACACCGCGCTGCTCTCTACCTGACCTTTCGCAGTCAGAGTCACCTCTGAGGCGGCGGAGACGCGCACTACCATCTCAGACCAAGTGGAGCAAGAGGCACCTGTCTTGGAGGTATCCTGGAGCACAGTGCACAATTACAGACCAAGGCAGGCCTAAACAACTCACTACATGTTATTGCAGAAAGCAGAAGACATGACACCTGTGTTTGCACATTATGTCTTAATCGGTCAGCACCACATAGGCAACAGCAATATTTACAAAACACATGAAAGCAATTTGGTGCATTTGAGTTTGATGCCCCGATTTCGCCCAAGAGCTCCCTGATCTAAGGCAGCACAAACATTATAGCCAAATGACAATATAATAAAACTTCAATCACCTTTAAAACAGCGGAACCTGGCAAGTCTCAGTGTTGAATCACCTCCAAATAATATCCATCTGCTGGTGGACACTTTAGGCATGAAACACATAGGCTATTGGGTTCCTTGGGTCACTCACCACCTGAGTGTATAAAATCACACACATCATTCTGCTTCAGAGACCATATTCCCCTATCAACCAGCTATTCCACACAGTAATTCTTAAATGAGCAAAATGCTTTGAAGGTCAGAGAATCATGTAAATTCCCCTGTCAGAAGGATGATCATGAATAATGCTACAGCTGCTTCTATCATAGAATACTGATACTTTATTAAATCCCTTTGTGGAAATTCTCTTTACACCTGAGCAGCTGATTCCGGCTCCGGAAGATGTATGAACCTATAGAGCTTAGGTGCAGGCCTAATTTAACACGCCCGATATAGACAATCAGGACCTTCAATAGCATCTCAGTCTTAGAGCCATTGATGTTGAAGCTATGCTCTGATGGGTGGTAGATCTCCAGGAGTAGGAATGAGCACCCTTGGCTTATCCCGTCTCACTCTCCATGAGACACACATACAGGTGAGAGCAAGCCCAGGGTCTGCCCTGGAGCAGGGGGTTAAGCACCTTGCTCAAGTGCCCGATAGACATCTGACTATTCTGCAGAGGCTGGGGATCAAACCAGTGATATTCTGATCACAGGCATGAAAAGCCATGCTTGCAGCATACATAGTTCTTGAAGGCATATATGTTTGATAGTATTGCTTATATTTTTTTTTGCATGAAAAAAATGACACCAGTCTTGAATTTGGGTTTTGAGGTATAGGTTCAAGCAGATATTAGGAAATTTGATAATTTTAGTATTTATTATTCAAAACATCATTGTTTTTCAATATATACTTGGCAATTTTACTCAGTACACCTAGGTAGTGCCAGGATGTTGGCAGTTTTGCTTCCATAACTGCTTCAAAGTTGGATGAGCTGTGAGCACAGAGAAGGCTTTTGCATCTCAAAGTTTTATCAGTCTGTTACATTTGAACTTGAAGCCTTCAAGTCTGGCCATTGGGCTCTGACCTCTCTAATTAATAAGGTTTTTTTTGCTGACAGCTCTGCCATAGACTGGATGTTTTCGTGTATTGCTCTAAGAGGATGTCCTTCAAGAATTGTCAGCTCTGTTGATGCCGGATGTATTGACACTGCTGCTGATGTTCAAATGAGGACAATTCATGCTTTTGAGAGTGCCTCCGCAGTGTGGCATTTCTGCAGATGTAATTTACAAACACAGATAAAATGTCATATAGTATGTATTTCTCAAGCCCAACAACGCAGAATGTTTATAGATGGTGCCCCAAGATTAATCCAACAGGCGAAATGATCCATAAGAATAGAAAAGGAAGTAAAGAAATAACTTACCTGGGCTAATGGGTTGTACAAAAATATGAGGGCTTTAATGATTTTTCCTTCAAGGGCAGAAGGTTTTTATGTATTTAGAACAAACATACATGCATTAGCTTTGCCTCCATGCACCTCATCTCTGTTAAAGGGCTTTCAGTAATATGTGAATTTCACCTGTCTGTATACCCTGTGATGGACTGACATTCAGATGAATGGTAGATGAATGGAAGTATGGACCATACACAATGGTGTTAGGAAGCTGCTCGTCTGTGCAGGTTCCTCATACAGTTACCTCAACCAGTTAGAACCAAATGCTGGTTGGCAAGAAATGTTTTTCTTTCTTTTTTTTTGCAAAATGTATTAAAAGGGCTGAATTCAAACATACCTATGCTGTTTATCCACAAATTCAGTCTTTGTCATTAGATGACCACTTTCTCTTTTGCACTTTTATCTGTGGGACGTCTTGAGAGATTTTTACATAAAATCCTTTTACATAAAGTCAGCGATGTTTAGATTTGGCAAATAGGGAGGCCATAGTGGCTTCTGATTTCAGCCTGGCCTTCATGAAACCCTACTTGAATGGGTTTAATGGTGTATGCAAGGGAATCATAATCGTACAATTCCTCAGTGGAACAGTTTTCACAATAGGGTGCATCTGGTCCTGTAAAATGGCTCAGAGTTCATGGTCCAGCAGTGCACCTATCAGAACTAATAAATCCCACAAGATATGGCTACCTATTCCAACAGACATATATCTGCCCAGATGTAGAAAATGCAGATGTAAAAGGAATCCAGGGTTTATGCTTCCCAAACCAGGTTACGTGCTGTGCATCGACTCTTACGACATGCATTCCTTGTCGAAACCTAGTCACAAAGGTGGTAATTCAGTCCTGTAGTAATTACTGAGACCATATTTTGGTAACTATCTAGCAAAGCACCCATAAATTAACTGCTTAAATAGGTTTAGTTACGTCTATTTTCTAGATAAGACTGGTTTTTATTTTGTTTCAGTGTTTTCTTCAGGGCTGCATTTAGAGTTTCAAATGGCTGTCACATCCAGACATTGGATGACAACCCCCTACTTTACTTGATAGAAAACAATTCAGGGAAGGGGTCTGCGGAGGGGATTGGGGGGGGGCTCTGTCACATTTCAAATAAGAGAACTGCTACAGTACTTCCCACTACCAAATGTGGATTTGGGGATTTGTATGTAACAAACATTCAAACAGCAATTTGTAAGGCTGCACGTTGTGCTTAACCTAGACAATCTGTGGAACATAAAAAGAAGAATAAAAATCAATCCGACAGCAGACCAATAAATATAGTGAAGTAACTGGTTTCCATTGAGAGCGGTCTGTTTGTATTGAGGTCTTCATCTACGAAGCCGCTGCTCAGAACAGAAGTAAATGAGAGGGACAAAGAAATGTGCATCTTCAGCAGAATATATTCTCCACAAAAGCATGAGAGACAGGAACACTAACTAAATATAATACCAATGGAGCAAGTCTAAGATAGACAGCCTCTCATCATACAGAACATTATCCCATCGAGTAATCTGTGCAGTGTTAAGTACCTATTGGTAGTGTTGTCTTTTAAGTCTATACATCAGGGGTGGCCAATTCTATCCGCAAAGGGCCAATGTGTATGTGAATTTTCACTGCAACTTCCTAATTAGGTTACTAATTAGAAGACTGATTGGCTGAAGAGTCCTCACACCTGGGTTTGAACAGCTGACCTAAAGGTTATCCCAAAAACCTGCATATACACACCGGCCCTTTGTGGATAAGATTGCCCACCCTGCTATACATCTTCCATACAAAAATAAAAATCTCCAGTCTGTTATGCTGACTTTGCACCTCGTGTCTCACTCATCTCATTAGATAGTTTCAAAAGCGAGAACAAGCTTGTAATGCAGCGTTCATTTCTGTTCCAGACAGAATCGATTAAACAGAATTATAGGGTACGGAACGGCTGGCTCTAAAACCTGGCAATAATATGCTTACAGTACATTTATATCATCTGGAAATCATATTTTAGACTTTGTAATGCCATTAAGTCCTTAATTTTTGGTAAATTGATTTAACACATTTTCATACTTTTTAACGAATGGCAGATACTCTGGTCCAGGAGCAGAAAGAATCACAAAGATAAGATAATTAGAAAATTCTCCATCATGCCAATATGCATTATGTAACAATAAGGCAATGATCATGTGTAACTGGGACTTCCCCATAATTTTATCATATTGACTCTGACTTATAATAAATAACTGTAAACTGATGGAAAAAAATACTACTTTATAAATCTAACCAAATTACTTTGCTCAGTTAGGTTATCTTCTTAGTGTGAGACTTTCAGATTACTGACTATGTCAACATTCTTTTGTCACAAATGCGATCATATTCAACATATTTAAAAATTAGATTGCAGGAATGGCATCAGTGTGGGGAATTAATGCGAAATCCTGAACAGAGTAATTAAGAATAATCCTGAAGACTGCATTACTGTTAGTACTTAAGGAAGAACCATAAATGGAAAGTAGAAGTACAGTGGCAAAGTAGAACAACAGTAAGGGCAATGTGACCCTGCCTGGACTGGGGAGACTGGGGCCCTGCCATAGCACTGTGACAATAGGCTGTGACAATCCTGCCACCAACCCCCAAAAAACTGGTCCTCCAACTTGCAGGGCTGGATGCAGTTTAACGTCATACCCAAGATTTGTGGTAGAAAATGGATGTATGGATGGATGGATTGAAGGAAGTACAGTGGTGTGGTGGACAGCCAGGGCTTTGAATCTTTCCTCTCTTCATGGCGGTGGAAAATAGATGTTTACCCTAAAACAGGGGTGGCCAATCTTATCCGCAAAGGGCCAGTATGTGTGCAGGTTTTTGGGGTTAGCTGTAGGTCAGCTGTTCAAACCCAGGTGTGAGGACTCTTCAGCCAATCAGTCCTCTAATTAGTAATCTAATTAGGGAGTTGCAGCGAAAACCCGCATACACACCGGCCCTTTGCGGATAAGATTGGCCACCCCTGCCCTAAACCATGCTGTTTTCTCTGTGTTCCCATAGTCAAAAGGCTTGACAGTAGGTGATTTGGTGTATGTAATCTGCCTATGATTTGTGCATGTCTGTGCCCAGTAAAGTACAGGAATCCAGAGTGCCCCCCCCCAATACCCTAAGCCACAATTACATTTTTTTGAGGAAAAACTACTTGTACCTATTTATCAATTTTTAGTCTCATGTAATATAAAAATTTGCAGGCACTACAAAAATAATGTTATATATGTGAGATTAGAAATTCTGTGATGTGGGAATTCAGGGGTATCATTGGAGAGCTTTTTATGGCTTAGTATTGTGAAGGAATATATGGTTAGTGCCAGATGGAGATAAATGTCTTTGATTTTGCATTTTTGGTAACTTGTAGAAGTTATCTGATAGACAGCAATGCATGGCATTTATATATTGAAAGAAACTGAAAGAAATTGAAATGGAAAACCATTGCTTAGATTATGATCCACTGGATAAACACAGACATAACAAAGTTTTAGAGTCTAATGCTGAATGTTTCACGCTATTGTTTTTCCTGCCTATTTACACTGTGATTGCTAAAATGAAATTTGAGAATGAAACTTTAAAATGGCTTTTTTTGCCTCAATTAACAAACCTGCACTGTAGCACATCATTGTGTTTACAGATTCAATTTCCATCTGTTTTGACGGAGCTCGACATCAAACATACATATACAAACCTTTGTAAATAAATATTATGAAAATATAAAGTAATTGTCTTTGTAATAAATGTGTTTTGTTATTTCTAGTAGAACTCCAGCCAATTTTTGAGTGTTTTTCTATCCCTTTATTTATAGGCTTATAATACATAAATAATAAAATAAATATTTTTTCTCAGAAGGGTAGTACGTGGATCATCGCGGACGCGAATATATGCTTTGTTTTCTGTCTAAAATGAATAATATCAATGTTTCATGGATTATTAGGGGTGCGTTTTGGGGGGAAATGCTTACAATAATTGCCTCATTGCACACAGGATTACTCTGGAATACTTTAGTGCAAAGTTGCAACTTGGGCAACTGGATCGAGTAATTTCTATCAATTCCAATTATATGCAATTCATTTATGTGTGCTATGCCCATCCAAAATTACGAGCCTGAGATTAATAGGCGTGAAAATCAACACATTTTGCGTTTGTCGGGTTCTAAGGGTTAATAGCTCTGAAAGTCAGGACCACGGACTTCAAATTTATGCAAGTACCTACAGGGAACCAATAAAGAGAGACGAATGTCATAGTGGTAGGGCTGACAGGGAAGACAAGAAGTTTGGTTTTGCAGAGGTTTCCTGGGAGGCTGTGATCCCTTATCCAGACTGCAATGTCAGCAGGGCATGCAGAGATCTGAGCAGAAAGCATGGAGGAAAGGTCAGGTGTAGCTGTGTATCATTGGCAGAGTAGTAAAAGTAACAATGTGACTAGATTATCAACCTTAGAGAAGTATTGTAAAGAAATAAAGAGGAGATAAGCCTTGGGTGATACTGTTGTACATGACTTGGACACTTCTGCGCCCTAAGTCACTTGGAATGATCTGCCTGATAGGTGTGAGTGAGACCATCTCAGAGCAGGTCCCTGTGATGCTAAGTTGAGAGAGGACATTTAGGAAGATTTGATGCTGCACTGTGTTGAAGGCGACAGAAAGGTCTAGTGGAATCAGGACAGCTGTCGGAGATACTGTCACTGTTACTTGGAATAAGCTTCAGACTGCCTGCAGCACTGTATTGGATAACCACTTGGATTATGAATGTATGGGAGGTAGAAGGTTACCCATTTAAAGAGATGAAACAGAACAATTCCTTGTATTAACAGTTATACAGTGATCCCCCGCTATATCGCGGTTCAGCTATCACGCCCCCGCTGTATCGTGGATTTTCACCTATCGCTTTTAAAGCATATGGGAGGGGTATTTTAAGGTGGGGGATCACTGTAATAATATTTTTAGGAATTTATTGGACAGTGTTTAGATGTAGTTAACTGAAACTGCCAGGATGGGTGGAGCTGCTACTTTGCAACAGAATTGTTTACACTCCATCTGGAATCCCCCCTGCAGGATCCGCACTTTCCCAAAGGAGTCTCACCTGCTGGGGAGGGACACAGTGCGAGCCCTGATGTACTATGCCCTGAAGGTGTGGAGCGACATCGCGCCTCTCGACTTCCACGAGGTGGCGGGCAACCAGGCAGACATACAGATCGACTTCACGAAGGCCGACCACAATGATGGGTACCCCTTCGATGGACCCGGAGGCACCGTGGCGCACGCCTTCTATCCAGGGGACCGTGTCACTGCCGGGGACTCCCACTTCGACGATGACGAGGCCTGGACTTTCAGGTCACCAGGTGAGGAATCAGTCTCACTCTACTTTATAAATCTAACCAATCTTATGGCCAATCTCAATCAGCCTGTCCAGTAGTACGTTCTGTATCTACTATTCCGTTTTAGTCTGTATTGTGTTATTTTGGTCTTTTTGTTTACCCAAGTTGTAATGTGCCATTAAATCAACTTAGCAGTCACATTTCCTTAGTCGGCGTTTTGAAAGGTCACTCTTCATAAGTCTCCATCATGGATGTGTATATTTGTCGCTCCATCGCCAAAGCCCTGCTGAAGACAATCAGAAATCTCAGCACCATCATTTGTGATTTACAAGACTCGTCAAGCTGAACAGCATGTGTCATAATGGCAAAGGACATGGGTTCACAATTAAACTGCAAGTTAGTCATGTTGCAGTACAAAAACATACCGTTTCAACTTTTAAAAATGAAACATTTTAAAGTGAAACACTGCAAGATGCACTATTCTTTCATGACGGGGCCTACATCAGGGATATTCAAAATTCATAGAGCCCCAGTCGTTCAACCATCACCCCCAGTAAGGTCCGAACCATGAACATGACATCACACATGACTTTGATTCTGGGGGCTTCATATCAATCCAAGAAATGGCCATTTTCAAGGTTTTCAACCAAAGTCTACACAAGTATATTTTCAAACACGAACATGACATGTTGCAGTTACGTTCATCGCATTTGCCTGGTATCTCGTTTGCTGCTCTATTACTTTGCACAAAGGCATAGTATCAATTCAAATGGACAAGAGGCTGAAGCTAAATGACCCACAGAGCCCTGCTGAGTTGGCCACTCTTTGTCTTTTCAAAAGTCTTGTAACCTAAAATTCAAACCTTGAATTTATTAGCAACACAAAAAAACACCCAGTGGTCTGGATTTTAATGTCTCTGAGTTCGGATTAGGACCACTGGTTTGTGATCTCTGACCCATATTAAGAATACTCCAAGCTGTTTCAGAGTGAATTATTTTATTGGCGTCAAAAGAGAACAGAAAGATGAATGTTAAAGCAAATGACATGTATTAATGCCATTATTCTGACTTCTCCATTGAAGTGCTTGGACAGATCACTGATGATGGAGGGATTTTCACTGCACTGTGAAGAATCGGTGGAGCTACAGTAGCTCTTTTAGGCTGTCTAGTAATTTCAAGGGAACTACATGTTTATTGTAGTAGCAAACTTGCCTTGAGTAATGAACTTATTTAGTTGTCTGCTAATGCATTCAAATGAAATGCTAATCAAAGCTGAAGCCAGTTTTTAACATACATGCAGAGAAGCATATTGTGAAAATATTGAAGGGTGACCATTTTGAATGAACAATGATTGCGTAATTGCTGGGGGAGATAAGGATATCTCGGGGGAGGGGGGACAAGCCCATTACTCACCTGTAAGCAATTAATTGTTGATTGAGAGTTAATGGGTTATTGATTAATTATCATTTCCCTATGATAATTTAGGTTGGGTGAATGGCAACAAAGGAGTCAGAGTTTCTTAGGGAGAGTGAGAACATTAAAACTAGGGTCTTTTAATAAACTCATTTAATAAGCTCTCCACGTTTTAAACCTATTTATGACATGAATCTGTTCATTTTCATTATCAAAGTGACATTTTTGCATATTGCAGTAAAGAAATTATAATTTTGGCATCTTTGAGTATTGTGTAACTCCTGCACATATCCATTGCCTTGTCCTGCACATATCCATTGTTTTGAAAGCCTTTCTGCCTGCACTGTGACAAGCTGCTGGCCATTTGACATTTTGCACTGGCACAAAATCTTAGTGAACATGCCCACTTCCTTCTGTCAGATTTGGCCATGACAGGTGGAAGACCATGGGATTTCATGCATAATAATCCACTAGGAAATTCAACTGAAATCAAGGATCCTCAGTTATTTGTCTTTCCAGAACTTGTTTTGTCACATCTCCATGTCACAAAGCCTGCCTTGAATTTTTGAAGGCTCTATCTTCCGCCTGTGCAACAATGTACACAATGTGTCTGAACCTCCAACTGACAGTGTGGGAATATGTGGACTGGTCAAATGAAAATAAAGAAAAAAAAAATGAAGAAAATTGTTTTTCTGTGACTGCAGCATAAATATCTATTCTGATTTTTTTTCAGTATTTTGCATAGCAGTAGCCAGGAATTTTAAATGTAATATAAAGCCAGCTAACTGGCTTTGAGAATCCCAGAATTATTTTGTAGCCTTCTGAACGTGGCAGATTTATTGTCTAATCCAAAAAATGTGAGACCAGGGGCACAGAGGACCCAAACACTGTAAACAAGTAGCCAAAACATTATACAAGAATCAAAGTTGGGATCAGAAGTAAAAGTTGTAAATGAGGGAAAAGCAGGGAAGATAAGCACTTGGTTGTCAGACATGCCAAATGAAACCTGACAATTAATAAAAACAGATCTGCTGGGTACATATTAGCAGCAGTTAGAACATGAAACCAGACAGCTGTCAGAATTCAGTGAGCTTGGCTGGGCAAGGGGGCGTTGTCGTTGCGAGCAGTCCGGCTCCTCCTTCCAATCAGATGTCCATATGCTAATATTTCAGGCACATTTAGAGCCAGTCTTAACAAATTTCTCCACAAATGTTCCCAGAAAATAGGGGGTACGAATAACGTTTTTGGCGAATCCATTATTGATGAATATATGGAAGAATGAGGTAGCATTGACTAATCCTTAAGGCATAGTGCAGTACTCATAATGTCCATCCTATGTGGTCTGGAAATCTTCCAATTATCTCCATGGCAAATCCAGACTTGATTTCTAAGCATCATAGGTACAGCTTTGTAAAGATAGTGGCCTAGCCAGTCAGTGTGTTCAATAGTGGTTGTGATCAGGGTAATAACTACAGATTCTTAATAGTAATGACATTTCGGTTTCTGTATAAACATGGTTTGTCATCCATCTTTTTTCCCCACAAAAAAAAAACTCAGCACAAGTTGGTTATGCAGTGGTAGTTAGTGGCTCTTTGTTTCTCCAACACCTACGAATCTTCATAAAGGCTGAGATACATACTTAGACTTTTTCTTGAGTGGTCTATACACCCAATATAGTCTACGGCTCCCACTAACAACTGTTTTTCGATGGATTCATTTATCGATTGTTTTACCAATTGGTCGATTAATCTAAAGAATTAACTCTTCTTCTCTAATTGACCGTTTAATTTTATTTTGACAACAACAAACTCTATGTCATTGCAGGGCTTTAAATAATGGACTAGTGCCACCGTGGTTGCGCCATCGAAACTTTGCACAGTGTACAAACCACCTTTTTGTTTAGTGATATTTTGAACCATCCATAATTACATAGTGGAATTAAAGGGAAACATTTGTTATAATGGATTGAAGAGTTTTAGAAATCATAAAGGTAATTTCTTTAAAATGGGCGTGGTGGTGGTGGGCAATAAAAAAATAAATAAAAATCTTTAAAATAAGAAAAATGAAGTGTTGATTTAAAATACAACCATTTCAATCGTGACCCTAATATAGTCAGACCAAGTTCCTTTGCCTGTCAGTCTATTACTGGACTGTAACGTCTTAGTAACCCGGATCTAGAAAAATTATTAGAAGAAGAGATTAGAGAGAATATTCATTGAAGAACAATGCAGGATGGAAGAAAAGCAATGTTGGCAGGCATGCCTAGGTAACTGAAGGGAGGATGATGGTACTCCTGGAGTAATGCAGATGAGCCCAAAAATGTGAAAAAAAAATTAAGAGAGGGGATCCAGCGAAATATAATTATGAGCTCAGGAGGGAAAATATAACACGAATACACTAGGCAAAGTGAACTATGATGCAAAGCAGGACAAAAAGGACAGATGAGTACTGTCTGCAGTCAGGTAGATAAGCAGGTGAGTAAATGGCAAGACTTAGTAATGTGCCAATTTTAACAAGACTGAGCAGTTACTAGTATTATCATACAAATATATGTGCTTTGTGTACAGTTATGGATAAAGTGGTGCGTAACTGCTTCTGTTTAATTCTATAAAACAAAGTTAGGAAGCACGAACTGAAGGTGGCTGTCAAAAATGGTTTTAATCGTGCTACTTGGCAGCAAAAATGTATGTTACGTTTATCCTCATTGGCTTCCTTTCCCAGACTCCTTCGGGATGGACCTGTTTGCGGTGGCCGTGCATGAGTTTGGACATGCCATCGGCCTGGCTCACGCCTCCGCCATGGCATCTATCATGCGGCCATACTACCAGGGCCCTGTGGGCGACCCGCTCAAGTACAGCCTCCCCTACGAGGATAAAGTCCGCGTCTGGCAGCTTTACGGTAAGAAGACTCTTCCCTCGGCCATCTGTCCGGCGAAAGCAGGCCAGGTGTTTTCCTTCTTCCTTCGTTATCCCTAAATTAGGATCTTCATTCCGATTGGATAATGTTCTTTGTCATCAGTGGGCAGATCAGTCTAATTTATTTTGAATGTCCTGCTTGCCTGCTCCCTTGCCCCTAAATCAGCCACCAAAACAGGCATTATTCTTCATTTATCTTTGTTTATTGAGTAGTGTAATGGGATAAATAATAAGCCTGAAAATCACTTCACCTTCTGTTAAAAGTTTCAATGTTTGTTAAATACCTACCATTCCAGCCTACAAACTACAGGCCTGTGGGTGCCTGTTTCTGTCTAAATAGTACTGGATCAGGTAGATAATTATTTAAGTCAGTATTTAAATACTTGAAGCCAAATGCACTATGGCAGTTACTCAGTGGAACCAGTTATGAGGAAATGGACAATGATATCGTAATCCAATAGAAGAAAATATTATAAATCAAAATATGTTGCCTTTTCAGTCTATTTCCTCTTTTGGTACTGGGTGGCATAGTGGTGCAGTGGTTAGCACTGTTGTCTTCTCCCCGTGTTGTGGTGGGGTTTCCTCTGGGTACTCCGGTTTCCCCCCACAGTCCAAAAACACACTGAGATTAATAGCCCAGTAGGTTACCAAATAGCCCGTAGGCGTGCTTGTGTGAGTGTGCCCTGTGTTGGTTTGGTTAGCTTATATTGTCAAATACTTTTGATCTGAGTCCATCTTTGCTTGGTCATGACATATAAAAACAAGTGATGGATGTAGCTGGTGCACCAGGAAAGTGGAGTTTGTGGCATTAGAGCCCATAGACCCCTCCCACCTCTCAAAATCCCCCATGCTGAATGAAATGGCTATGAAACCGTTTTCCACCTGTTTCTCCAGGGGTGCGGGATTCTGTGTCCCACACCATTCAACCCGAAATCTCCCATGGCACCGATCCCCCTATACTGCTGGACCTCCCGGAAAACCGGTCAACAATACTGTGAGTAAGATGGAGTTGAGTGCAGCTTTTGGCTAGGGTAACCAGATAATCCATGTCTGGGAGGATACTTTGAGCCAGGACATGATTTATAAACTACCATTTCAATAAAAAGGACCTTGATTTCACTTATGCATGAGTTCTTGCTGTATGCTGATTGGTCAGTCTCCTATAATCATGCATCATGCAAATCCCATGATTGGCGTAATGATTTTATCACTTGAGCAAGGCCCTTTACCCAAACTGCTCCAGTGACTGGTTGGCCCTGCTTTTCCAATTGAACAAATTTTTGTATAAAAGCATCAGCTAAATAAATAAATGTGCATTATAAAAAGAAAGATCTGGGGATTTATGTTAAATGCGATATAGCCTTATAATCCGTAGAACAAAATCCCATGGAAGTTGATAAGCAAAACGCTCTTGCTGATTAACTTTTAAAAAGAGGCATTTAAATTGGTGAAAAAAAATCTAAAGGTTAGATTTTAAGGGTTTATTTTATTTGTAGAGACATTTTTAAGGAAAAAAAAATCAAGATCAAGATTAGGAACATTTACACAAACAAGTATTTTGGAGACTGGCATTTGTGGTACTAAGTAGATGTTTCTTTCATCATTTTCCAGGCTGGTTCATGATGCCCCAAAGAGATGTAACACTCATTTTGATGCAATGGCCCAGATCCGTGGCGAGGCCTTCTTCTTTAAAGGTATATTGGGGGGGACAGAATTGATGCTAAAATCAGCCAAGCATTCGGAAACTTTCAATAGAACTTTTCAAAATTTGTCCTTGCAGGCAGGAGGCTGCAGCAGATCCAAACGCTGCTATCTTTTTTTTTCAAATCTTTATTGCACAAGTACAGGTTAACACTAAAACAGGGTACATCAATTTTCAATACATTTTGTTTAACATTCCTTCTCTCCCCCCCTCCCCCTACTCTCTATCTTAATAGTAAACCCGGCTCAGACTCCTAGACAGATTTACTATTTATTAAAAACAATTGTGCATCCACAAGTGCAGAAACACTCACATGTCAGACTTCTTGAAAGCAATTCCCAGTTATTTACCATTCACACCCCTTGCTTCAGTAGAAGCTCCATTTCCCTCCCTAACCACCGTCTCCAGATACGGAAAAATTACAGTCCATACAGCAAAACAAATTACTTGAAAGGCAGTTTGAAAATGAAAGTGTTCCACAGTCATTTTTCTTCCCTCTCTTCTTTGTTTCTTCCTTGGCAATACATGGCAAAACAGAGCGATTAAAACTACACCTCACAAACACAATCATAAGAATGGATGTGGCCAGTTCCACCAAAACACCTAATCCAGTTTGTTCACATAGTTTATCCCACAGACACTTACAGTATGTTCTAGTTCTGAAACATATTTTTACCTGGAAGAATCAGTTCCCTTTTGTTAACTTCCCTTAACAGGAATTAAAGAAGAGTTAAGAATACATGCTCTCTCTGGGTCCATGTTTCCTTCTTTTAGGGATTTATTTCTGGCGTCTAACAAGGGAGAAGCAGCTGGTGTCCCTTCATCCAGTTCATCTCCACCGGTTCTGGAAGGGTCTGCCCGATAGTCTGGACAGCGTGGATGCCGTGTATGAAAGGCCAGGGGACCACAAGATTGTCTTCTTCAAAGGTACCCCTACGATTCTGAGGTCATTGTGTTTCTTGTGTTAAACCCAATTTTGCTTACTCATTGGTCCCTGTGATGCGTCTGTGCTGGGTGAATTTGTTTTATGATATAGATATGTTACCTTCTCTTAGTTGCCAGTACATAAATGAATCCCAAAGTATGCAGATTCATCCAGAGGAAATTTTCAGCTGAAGCTGTAGCTGAAGTATATGTGAAAATAACAACTTATTGTGAAAATCACAAGAAGATACATAATATCCCACACAGATCTGAGCCAGTTAAAACATGCATACATTTAAACCGCATTATATTGCATACTCATTATGATTGTTCTGAAATTAATTGAATGCTTGTCAGCTTATTAAACATGAGATGAACATACTTTATTACAAATGAGCTGCAGATTTGAGAGTTGTAATTATTATCCTTTTGTTAATAGCTGTCTATTAAAAATGATGGCTTTATGCACTCAACACATAATCTGTGTTTTAATATCTCACTATTTAGCCAGATATTGTATCAAATATTAGCCTAAAACATTTATTCTATAAAGCAACATTATGATTAAAGCAGTGTCTGTCACGCTATAAACCAACATTATGATTAAAGCAGTGCCTGTCACGCTGGAAGGCACCCGGAGCACAGACAGAAGCGCAGGATGCCAGGAGTTGGGGAAAACGCAGGGTTTAATCAAAGTAGAAACAAACGAACAGGCAGCAACGCAAGTTGACAATACAATGACCGGACTGGGGAAACAAACTGAAACGCGGACTAAATACATTGAACTAATGACAGCAGCAGAAAACAGCTGGTAAACACGGGGATTCCACACGAGGTAAATGAGGGGGTGTGGCACACGGAAGGAGCAGACGATCGGTGCAGGACAGGACCCCCCCAAAGGCGCACACTCTGGGCACGCCTAAGGGGAGCAAAGACACGACGGAACCTAGGGAGGTAAAAGCAAGAACATCAATGGGGAACAGGAGGAAACACAGGGGGCACAAAGGGACCAGGTGGGAACAACGGTGGAGCAGGACAAGGAGTAAATACAGGGGGCAAGGAAGCTAAGGGCGAGGGGAAACGGGGAGCTGGAGGGACCCTTGGCGGGCGTAAGGCGGAGGCCATAGGTAGCGAAGAAGAAGACGAAGGGGCTGGCGGAAAAGGAGAGGAGAAAGCCGTAGCTGCTAAACAGAGGCAAAGCCACAGCCAGCTCAGATGCAGGAATGGGTGTGGGACCTGCAGGTGATCGAGGAGTCACAGGCGGGGGACCCACAGGCGATTGGTGTCCTCTCCCTTTCCGGGAGACCGAGAGACGGGAACCCGGCTGAGATCTGCCACGATGAGGTGGCGGTCGGGGTGCTCCACTGGAGGGGTGTAAGGGGACAGTCAGGATGATCCCCGAGGGGTCCCACTCGAGCTCCTCCTACAGCTCCATTAAGGAAAGAGGAGTGGTGGTCAAGCCATCAGGGACCACCTCGGGGACAGGGACTGGAGCCAAGAAAGTGTGGGAGCCGCTGGGCGCGGAGCGTCAGCCGCTGGCACAGGATGTGCTGGGGGCAGAATGTCATCCGCCCGGACTGGGGCCTCGGAGGGTGGCGTGTCAGCCGCCAGGATGGGAGCCTCACAGGGTGCGGGGACCTCGGGCGCCAGAACAGGAACCTTGGGCGCGGCACAGGAACCTCCGGGGGCGCAGCCAGAACGTGCGGCGCAGGAACCTCCAGGGGCGCAGCCAGTATCGACAGCGCAGGAACCTCCGGGGGTGGCGGAGCAGGAACCGCCAGTGTAGGGACCTCAGGGAGTGGCGGAGCAAGTAATGCCAGCGCAGGGACCACGGGGGGGGGGGGGGGCGCAGCACAGCAGGAACTGGAACCATGGGGAGCAAAGCAAAAACTGGAACCACAGGGAGCAAAGCAGGAACTGGTACCACGGTGGGTGAAGCAGGAACTGGAACCTCGGGAGCAGGAACCATGGGAACTGGAACCTCAGGGGGGAGAGGGGGAACCGCAGGTGCAGGAACTTCGGGGGGTGCTGCAGGAACAGCAAGCACAGGAACTTTGGGGGGGCGCTGCAGGAACCACAGGCGCAGGAACCTCGGGGGCAGGAACTGGAGCAGGAACCTTAGTCGAGGGTTGTGTCTCAGGGGAGGCAGACGCGCCTGCCGAAGAAGCCTAGCTGCTCTGTACTTAAATGGAGCAGCTTCCTTAGGCTCTTCGCCATCGTCTCCATATCATTAGGCAGGGAAGTTGACATGAAGGCAGTTAACTCCTCTTGCAGCCGTTTACGGAGCGGGACATTCCTCTGGGGAGGTTAACGAGGGGGCGTGGCACACGGAAGGAGAGGACGGTCGGGGCAGGAAAGTGTCTCTGTATTGTTAATTATTGTTCACCGAATGATGTATGAGTGTTTAACAAACCAAAAAAATATTCAAAGAATTAAAGTTTTTTTTTAAATTTAATTTCTCACTTAAGACAATAATTCCAATAAAAACATTCAGCCTCTAATATGTATTTTTCTGTTTATCTTTTTTTTCACGTGATAGGCAGAAATTGAGCACCAGGCCAGAAATATTGTATCTCTAAATATTTTTATGCTTCTAAACATTTTTGTGGTGTTATACAGATTAATTTTGAAGATTTCTAATGTGAGAATTCCATGTAGATTGAGTCCACGTACATTTGGAACAACAGCCTTCTTTCTATGGGTTACAGCTTGTAATTCACGTCTGATGATTGACATTTGTTCCACAGTGATGGGCACAAAGAAATTAACATGTTTATATTGTAAGCAGTACAGTTTTAAGTGAGCACATATGTTCATACCAATCTTTACACTGTTTAGTTCAATATACAAACACAATGTTTGCCGCATTATTAGGCACTAGATGTTTCTTCATATTTGCTGTTATTCATCACGAAGCTACAGCTTGCTAGAGCACGCCTTCTGTCAAGTTTTTCTGGCTAATAACTGATATCCTTTTGAAGAATAAAGATCTCCATTTCCGCAAGTAGTCATTAGGCCAATTTATGCTAAATATCACTGATTATTGAGTCATTATGAAATTCCTAGAAAAATGTTTCTGGTAGTTTGGTGACACTGAATGTTTTGCACTGCAGATTCATTTATTGATACTTGTGTCCCGTCCTCAGGGTTAAACTACTGGGTTTTCAAAGACAACAACGTGGAGGAGGGCTATCCCCGACCAATCAGTGACTTTGGCTTACCGATGGAGGGTGTGGATGCTGCCTTTGTCTGGCCACACAATGACAAGACCTACTTCTTCAAGGGTGACCAATACTGGCGCTATGACGACTACCTGCATCGGATGGACCTCGGCTACCCCAAGGACAGCGTGCTGTGGAAGGGGATCCCAGCACAGCTGGATGATGCGATGCGCTGGTCCGATGGTGCGTGTGGTCCATGCAAATCATAGCATATTAGCGTGATAGCATGTTACCGTTGCCAATAACTCAGGCTCGTTCCATCTGTTTTATCGGCAGGAGCCTCCTACTTCTTCAAGGGGGCAGAGTATTGGCGCGTGCGGGGCAGCGACATGGAGGTAGAGGCCGGCTACCCACGGCCCATCGGCAAAGACTGGCTGCTCTGCGTGGACATGCTGTCGAACTCTCCAACCCTGGAGGCCAATGGCACAGAGACCCACTTGCGTGGGCAGCACCGCGCCAGCCACGCGGGAAGCAATTACGAGGTGTGCTCCTGCACCTCCGACTCGGCCGCCCCACTTTGGCCCCGCGTATCACTCCCTCCGTTCGGGCTTTTGGTTTCCCTCTGGATATTTCCTGTGGCCCTCTCTGCACCACCGTGACCATGTGACACATACATTAATGACACACCAACCTGCAGAACCTCTCCTTTTTTCGGCTCACTTTCATTCCCTGTTCGGCGATTCTGACTCGCATCTCGCCATCGCCTGCAGTGTGGACAGTGGGAATAAGAACGTTTTTGTAACGAGTGTCAGTTGAGGCTTGTTAGTTGGTTAACAGTTGTGTTACTGTACCAATTGAGTCTTGCCGGTGTGTGTAGATAAGGGGGAGATGTGACAGTTTGTGTCCTTTGAGGCTGTCACAGTTATACCCAGGTTAGGCTCAGAAGAACATATACCACTTAATAAGGATTTCTGTCTATTTTCTTTAAACAAAGAATTTTTGATTATGTTATCAGACAAACCAACTTTTATTGTCCATCTTGGGGTAGTGTCTGTATATTTTGTGTTTTCAGTTGTATATTGTGCATAGCCTGTCAGCACTCTTAGTTAAGACATAAAAGTGGTCTAGTTGTTTCTAATTAACACAGGCTTACAGTCATGTCATGACAGGGAAAGTGTGTAATATATTCTCACAATACCTATATAAATGCCTGTCTGCAGTGTCCCAATGCTTGTTAAACTGGTCCAGGTCAGTGGGAGCGTTTGTTATTTCCTGAGAAATTCATCTTGCTTTTTTTATCTTTAACTGTACTGCATATGAATTTGACGCCAATGTTCAATACTGAAAAAACACTGAAGTTGTTCTAAAGGCCTGTTATACGAAATATGTCTATATTTATGAGAAATGAGAGATCACAGGTCAAGTGTTTTTCAAATTTCTGTAATATTTTTGAATACAAAAAAAAGCAACAAGCTGGCGTGCTAAGAGTGCAATGATTTTGTGTTAAAATGGCACAACGCAAAATTAATACATTCCCAAAAGACTACAGAGGATCTTTACTCACAGATATTGGATTATATCATGAAAAGAAGCAGTAAAACTCAGTTGTAGATAACATGAATTATACATTATAACTATGTATTAAACATACCATGCAGTCTGCGATGCATTTAAAATATGATAAAATATTATACCCTTATCATAATGAAAGACATACAAACTTTATGGAATATGTCATTACATTATCACATGGCTCAAGGTGACTATAGGAACACTGTAAGTCTGCTGATATTCAGCAATAGCACATCCATCTGATATGCTCATCCTCGTGAGGTTGGTCCCGATTTGCTAAGTAGTGACTCAAAGGTTCTTATCATCTGAGGACTGGACCTGAATCTGAATCTCTTCTCCTCAGACGCTTTCAAAACTTCACACAGCAGCTACAGCTGAGCTTGAGATCATCAAACTTTACTTTTTAATGTAGTTTAAAGAAGCTAAAGACATCAGAAAGGAATCAAAAGTAAATGTTTTATTAAACGCTGTGCACTGAAACATTTACGTTTTCCATATTTTACATTTAAGAGGCTGGAGAAAAAGAAAATGTGATGCGGGGAATTGGACTGGCGGCACATTTAAAAGAATGTAAATGTCAAACCTCTGGGACTCTGAAATCAATTAAGATGCCTGCATTCAGTCACCTATGGCTCAGGCCTTATTCTGTCACCCAGTGGCTGCCGCCAGAAGGCCCATAACTCTGAAGCATAGCTGGGGTATCAGATTTCCAAGCTGCCATCACACCAGCACCTCCTAGAGACGGTCCTCCTGGATGGTGGTTAATAATCTGGAGTGCGACTGGCCTCCAAGCAGTGAACTAGCATGCAGTTGGGCAGTGACCTGAAGTGTTTAAATTCTGCATAGTGCATTGTCGTTAAAAAACACGACACCTCAGAAAAGCATCCCTTTGTATAGGCATATGCAAATAACACAAAAACTACTATAACACATCATCCTTGCACAATCGTCTCCGAAGGCGGTAAATGGGTTCTTAGCTGCAGAGCACACTGGTCAGTGAGATAAAATAATAGCAAATTTCAGTTCGGGGTTTACATTAAAAACACTTTTACAGTGCTGTGCCCAACCTCCTTCCTGCTATACAGCCTTCTTCCTACACTTTTTATCTGGACACGCTTCATTGCACTTAATTAAGCACCACACGGACATAACGAGCGAGAACAGGCTGCGTCACAGGGGTCCGCCTGTGCTGTGTAAGGAGGAAATTACTCTGCTGCTTCCCCATCATTCCATTTCCTTCTGTTCTTCTCTTCAATTAATTATTTTAATTAAGCCTGTCTGAAAACAACACGGATTTGTGCGTAGATCTGGTGTTAGTGCAGAAAATGTTTATTAGTCTTTGTCGGGAATTTGCTCTACATTCGAGTCAATAGATAGAAAAGAAAATGAGGATTTCTCACCAAATGATTGAAGATCCAAAGAAGGAATCCAATTTTACATTCACATTTATAGTACTTTTGAGGTATCTGATCTGAAACATTTACATAAACCATGTAGCTGTCCACACGGGCTGGATATGGTCTCTGTTGGAATCCTTTTGATTGGCCATGAGAGATAAATACAGCCTTTAAGGAGGGCTGAAGCAAAGGGCTGAAGATGTAACTGAGTGTGAGCAGACCCACGGGCAATGCTCCCGGCTATTCCGCATACTTCGCCAGCTCTCGGTAGTGCTGTTCATTGAGCTGTTGACCTGCTGTGCATGGACTTGTGATCTGAACCCTTTTTACAAATAACATATTGTATGTTACCGTGTGTCCTCTGGGGCCCACAGTCGGCCCATGTTTTTGCTCCCTTCTAGCTCTTGGTAAAAATGTGGACCATCTATGGATCCCCAAGGACTGCATTGAGAAACACTGCTGCAGGTTGTGTACACTAGCCTTCAAGACACGGGTGCAAATTGTTGCTGTTTCCTGGTTAGCCTTTTCGTCTCCAGAAAATTGCTGGCAGATGTAGCTGAAAGTACTGGCACTCTTGTATTTTATTCAAATAATACAAATCATAATTATTCCTAAAAAATACTGAAATAAAAAAAATACATCCATGTATGCTTTTCTTTGCTTGGCAGTGGAACAAAACAAACAAGAAAAAGCTGTGAAATGAATGTAATTATTGTCTGAAGGCTATCATTGATACCGTTTAGAAGTTCTAAGAAATAATTTCATTGTGGGGGGATCCCATCAGTCTGCAAAATTCATCATCCCCTCTCACTTGACACAATATACCACAGTGCAGTGCTTCCCAATCCGGTCCTTGGGGACCCACAGACAGTCCACGTATTTGCTCTAGGAGCTGGAAGGGAGCAAAAATTTGGACTGTTTGGCAGGAAGCCCGTAGGGAGCAAAAACATGGACTGACTGTGGTTTCCTGAGGACTGGACTGGGAAACACTGGCGTAGAGGACCACTGTCACTCCCCGCATGCCAGCACAGCATGATTAAGTGTTGAGTGGGCCCTGCTCTCCCTTGCACTCAGTGTGAGATATTGCTGATCTGGATGTCACTTACTGAACATTTTTCCTGTGTCCTTTGTCTAGCCCTGACCTGCCCTGCTTTCGTGATCTCAGCCCAGCCTCATACCCTCTTCCCCTTGACCTTCCTGCTGTTTTTGCATCCTGTCTCCCATGTAGGATAGATTACACTGCTACCTGAACCTTCTGGTCTGTGACCACAACGAGAAGAACCGCGAGTCAATTTCAGTTCTGTTTGCCTCTTTCTGCAATAAACGGGCCATATACCACAATTAGGTCCTTCAGCTTCATTCGCTACAACCACAAAGTCCAGGGACAATTTTAAATCCCAGCCTTGGGATTAATTCAAGCAGACTGTGCTCTTCATAATTAGTATCACAGGTATCTTCAATCACATAATCACTCACTCTGCCAGTTTAAATGTAACAAAGTAACACACTGTTGTTCTGTTACTGGGTGTATCAGAATACAAGATTACAAAGGTTAAAAAGTAACAGTTAAACATGATCAAAGTAAAGGTTACAACATCTCCCAAAGGGCTTAGTTTTCCTGTGGTCATTGTTAGCAATACTGTATTATTGAGAAGTTTAAGGCCCGTAGGGCTGTAGCCAACATTGCTCAACGTGGCTACAAGGAGAAAACTGAAAAGGAAAACTATGAAACATATTTAACCTGACCGTCAAGCTTAAGGTACAACAGTTTCAAGTTGCACCATTCATCACTCTCTGAATAAAAATACTGTAGGCTGCATGATAGAAGACCTCGGAGACACTGCTTCTAAGAGAGAAACACAGAAAAGACTGACTGGAATCTGCCAACCTGCACGTGACAAGCAACAGTCAGTCCAGGAAAATGTCCTTTGGATAGTCAAAACAAAATCAGAGGCCAGTTGTCAGACAGTCACAGGTCATGGGTCTTCCAAGAGGACAATGACTCAAAACATGCCACAAAATATACCCATGAATGGATGGGAAGACAATTGGAACATTCTGAAGTGGCCTGCTATGAATCCTGATCTAAATCCCACTGAACATCTGTGCAAAGAGCTGAAACTCAGAGTTAAAATGCACCCACCAAAATGAGAGAACTGGAGGGGTTATTGCATATTTAACCTGGCTTTGAGCCATCTCCAAATTCTTTCAATTTTGTCATTGTATGCTGAAGTGCAGTGATTCTGAGAGAGCATGTAAAGTTACCACTAATGCATTTTAATAGCTACCCACAAATTCATTATGCAAGTATGAGCATACTGAAAGACATTACCTATTGTATTTGGAATTTGACATTCTGTATGACTGGTGGGGGTAAGATAGCCTCTCTTGTTTTCTTAATGACCTATGAGACATTGCTGTATTGCCATACCTACACTCAGTGGTTAATTTATTATGTACATCTGCTTGTTGATGCAAACATTCTGCTCCTCTAAACTGGGAACCATGGGACTGCAACTGAATATAAACAGCAAGAAGACAGGGTCAAAAGGTTCACTATCTGTTAGGGATATAAAGATACACTCAACTCAAAATTCGATACGATTCACGATTCTGAGTTCACGATACAATTTTCTCACGATTTTTTAACAGAATGAGCTACAGACAAATTTATTCAAAAATATTCCTTAATTTATCTTACTAAACTGTGCAAAATGTGTCCTCTTCTTAACAGTGCAACTGAAATTGAATAAAATACTGTTACTGTAATTAGTGAATGGGCTGATACTTGGCAGATGAAATTTAACACAGATAAATGTAAGGTAATCCATGCATGGAGCAGAAAT